TATGTTTAACCATCTCTGAACAAGAGTAATGAATAATAATCTTATGGTTGATTAAAGCCTTTCCTCTGCCTTGTTTAAAATAAAACATTTCCTATTGCAATTAGTGATTTTCAGTTACTCGTCCTAATAATAGCAGTATTTAATTTTTCGTTTGCGTAAATGTGAAAACGAATAGATTTCATTAACCAAAACTCTTTTTGAAACTGTGTTTCAATTCCAATAATTTCGCTTGATTCTTGTTTTAATGCTACGGTTATATTGACTCGAAGAGTTTTTAAGGACTGTAGTAACATTGATTTCCAATGTGACTTATTTAGATAATTTCTGTCGTTCACATTTCCAAATAAAACTAATGTTCGAATATTTGGAACGAATCTGAGTAGTAGTTTAAGTTTATCAAATGAAATATTTATAAGAAAGACATTAAGATATGTCAGTGACGATAACAAACATTGTAAAGAGTCTGTAATAAGATGGACATTCAGTGCTTCATGAATAGATAACCGTCGAAGTTTTGGAACATATGGAAATAAGTCGAATAAATCGTTTAAATCACATTTTTGTAAAATTAATTGTTCAATATTTGATGTTGTTGTTACCTTATCAAAACACAGCCAATATTCATGTAAATTCAATTTTAAGATTTTCACTAAAAGAACAATACTGATGAATATGGCAACTGTAAACGGGCCTTCCTCGAGAAAAAATTTCATAACAATTCGAGATCAGAGTTATGAAGCGAGTCGGTCCAATTATCCTCGTGCTACTTCGCAGAAAATTCAAAAATTATGTTTCTAAAAGATTTTTTAAACAATTTCCATTACTTTGCAGGTCAAATGGCGTTCAGTTCTATTCAATAGTCATATAATTTTAAACTTCTTTTATAATATAAACCGACTAGACTTAAATAATGAGTTAAACTTGACTCCAATACTTAGAGGGCTTAAAGTATAAAAAAAGGTGTTGTTCATGTACATACCACTGGGAGAGTCAAATAACATTTTACACAGTGAACGTATAGCAGTTTTGCTTGTAATTTTAGTTGTATCAAGACTAAGACTTGTTAACGCTGGTAATTCTTTTGATTTTTCCAGTACATATTTTAGATCGATTAAATGTGCATTTGTTAAAATAAGTGAACGAAGTGAAGTAAATTCTTGAAGATTATGAATGGTTGAAAACAACTGAATGGTATTGTCAAAATTCGGTTTCAATGAGATAAGTTGATGGCGACATTTCATCAGAAGTGAAAGATAATAATAATTTGTTTCAGCTGTTGTGTTCTGAAGATCTATATGCAAATTTAGACGATGATCATTTAAAATTAAATTTATTCTTGGGTTAAGATCATTCCATGACTTATGCACACTGATTACATCGCCACAATATTCCAAAACAGACATAAATAGATCATCTGATAAATCTTCAATTTTTGAAGGTTCACTCATTCTAGATCTGAAAAAATGCACAAAAAAGACATGAAAGACTCTTTATGAAATGTGCTGGTGTTTCTAAAACAGATATTAACCTCAAAAGCACGGAGACTGGTTTTCTAAACTGCCATGCGATAACAGCTTTTGCTTAGAAAGTGAATAAGCGAAAAAAGTGAAAACTGCCTGTCAGTAAATAAATAAAGCTAAATCATAAATGACAGGGAAGAAAAAGGTGACGCTATGTAACCAACAACAGAAAGAGAAAAAAGAAATACAGCCAGTTTGATACAAAATTAATGAAGCAGTTGTGCACGTTCATTTCTTTTTCTCAACCTTAACGAATAGCTTGTCTAAGAAAATGTTGGTATCCAATAACCAAACTTCTGTGTAGTCGCACCTTCTCCCTTTTCATGAGATATAAGCGTAGGTGCAAGTATCGAACACATCTTCAAAACTGTACGACTGCCTATACGGAACACCTCAAGGTGCAATTCTTTCTCCTCT